AATGTTTCAATATGTAGGCATTTACAGACTCATCTCCAATGAAGATTGAAGTGTTAGACGATATTAGAGAGCAGTGGGCTTCTTTCCTTCTAAGTATTCAATCTTCATAGCAAATTTGACTTGTAACAATTTTGATTGAATTGATTTAAGTTAGCAAATTTACATTCGTTTAAGTAAATGAATTGTCTAGAACTGAGGTACATATATTGTTTTCAATATGTTTTATATGTACATATCTGTCTGGAACTATATATGAACTGTGCATATCTGTCTGTACAAGTGTTTGGATCTGTGAATATTTGTCTGGAACTGTGATGAATAGGCAGGTCTACTCGAAGAAAGGTAGCATCTCGTGAAGAAAATGCGATTTAAAAAAATAACACTTTCTACGCTCGGTTATGTCATTACCCGACGTAGAAAGTACTTTCTACGTCGGCTAATGACATAACCGACGTAGAAAGTTTAACATTTTATGTCGGTTATAGGCATAACCGACATTGATAACACATACAATCACTGAGTCATCGTTAACCGATATAGATACTCAGGGTTATGGAAAGTTAGAAAGTAAGACTTTCTATGTCGGTTATCGGTGTTAACCGACATAGAAAGTAATATGACAGTCGAATTAGTTATGACCGATCGGAACCGCTTATGACCGATCGGAATAGCTCATAGAAAGTAAGCATTTCTACGTCGGTTCCTCGACTAACCGACGTAGAAAGTCTTACTTTCTACGTCTGCTATCGGTGTTAACCGACATAGAAAGTAATATGACAGTCGAATCGCTTATGACCGATTATGATAGCTCATAGAAAGTAAGTCTTTCTACGTCGCTCCTCGACTAACCGACGTAGAAAGTCTTACTTTCTATGTCGGTTATTAGGAACCGACGTAGAAAGACTTACTTTCTATGACCCCCGTATCTATGTCGCCGCTTTAACCAACGTAGAAAGTCCATTTTAACCGACGTAAGAAGCTTTTTCTGCAGTAGTGGTTATAGAAAAAAAATAGAATAATCAATTATGTGTGATTTTTTTAATTTATTTAATAATTAAATAAATATACTAAAATAATAAATTAATTTATTGATAATAAATAAATTTATTTAACTTTCTATTCACTTCAACCAATTTTTGTTAATCATTTTTCTCACAATATTACATTATATTACTTATTTTATTTGACTAATTTTTCTCAAGATAATATTAAATTTTGTAATATAAGAAAACAAAATTGTTGAATTGTATTTTTAGTGTATTTTTGAAAACATTTTGTAAAGAAGAGAACATGTCGGCTTTTATGTTGGTGAAAAACAATCTAATGTTTTATTTAAAGAAACACATAATGAAAGGAGTTAGATGATAGTTTGTAAAATGTATTTTGATAAAGATTAAACTACAATTTAAGTTTTAGTTATACAAGATAAAACAAATGTGAAAAAAGAACTCTCCATACAATTTTTTTTACTCATATTTTATTTTGGTTATTAATTACGATATTTTTTTTAAAATAAAATTATAATAGGTTAAAATTCTAAAATCAACCATATTTTGGATATAAAAATTGATTTAACATATATCTATGAGACTGGAATATTTTTATTTTTAAACCAAACAATATTCATTAAAACTTTATAATATTCAAATATTTCATAAAGATGACAAAAATTATTAGGAAGATTGTTATGAAAAATTTGCGTTATTCACTTTTATATACATGGTAGTATTATTATTATTATTATTATTATTTATTATTATTATTATTATTATTATTATTATTATTATTATTTTCTTCCTTCTAAAGTTTTTTTTTAAATAATTACTATGAGTAATTTTTTTTAGTGTTTATTCTTCCTTTGAAAGACATATGATAACCTCTTTCAACGTTTATCGCTTCATATATCTGTAAAAATTGATGTGTCATTCAAGCAATAAACTTTTAAAATTGTTTACATCATTTTTCTTTTGCATAACTTCTTAATTTTTTTTTCTGAATTAAACTTTTGGACGTGGAATAGTTATTTATGTCTTTTTGCCTTTTTCATTACATCTTAGTAAAAAAATGAAATTGGTGCAATTTATTATTTTGAAATTATTCAATCAAATAATTTAAAAAATTATGTAGATGAATAACTTATGCTTCCAAACGCAATGTTCATTTTTTTAAAATTATAATATTAAAGGCTTGTTAGCATGATTTCGATAATATTTTTATATTTAAAATAGGGAAATTGTACTTAAAATACAACATTTTTTTTACATTTGTTTTGTTTTTATATTATTATTATTTTATATTATTATAATTATTATTACTATTAGTATTAATACTAATATTATTATTATAAAGTAATAATAACTATAATAATGGTGAAAACAATAATAATTATAATTATAATTATAATATTGGTCTCATATGTTCAATGCTAGAATTCTATAAATGAAAATAAAAAATTGTAAGTTTTATAGGTATGACATCTTAAAGTATAGAAGTATTTATGCAAATCTTTCATTCATATATTTTATCTTAATCTTTTCAGTTAAGCATCTCGTGTTACCATGAACTTAAAAATCACCATAAATATATAATGAGATTGTGTTAATATCTTTTGCTTACTACAAGATTATTAAGGTTTTTATAATTTTACTTTTTTTAAGGTTTTTATAATTTTACTTTTTTTAGCGTTTGCAAACCATTACATTGGTTTTATTATGCATTGAGTGTCTGTATAACTGTTTGACCCGTAATCATAATATATTTATATATTTTATATTTATATATTTATACGGATATATATTTATTTATATATAAATATAATTTATTTATAAATTATTATTAAAAAATATTAATAATTTAAGTATAACAGACTGGCTTAACCTTATGAAATAATAATGGTAAAGAGGTTAACAAGTAAATTTTTGTCCGATTGAAATTTAAAAAATAAATATTATTGTTTGTCTATATCAAAATAATTTATTAAAAAGTGTTTAAATATAAAATAAACAAAAATGTATTTTTAAAAATTAAGTTATATTTATGAAAATAATTTTTATTTCAAATATAATAATTTAATATATAAATAATAAAAAAATCATTCATTTATTTTTAAAATAAAAATTAAAAACTTATTCTTCATTATATTATTATTTTTTAATAATCTATTAATATAATCATAATTTATCTTAATTTAAATAAATAAATATCAAATATTTACTCTTATATTTACTTGAGTGAATCTTTTATTAAATTAATTTCTAATATATATAATAAAATAATATTATTTTTTATTATTATAAAATATATCAATTGATAACCTTATAAATTAATATATTATAAAACTATTTAGATCATAATCTAAATAAGTAATAAATAGATATAATTTAATTTAAATTATAAATTTTTTTATTTGATTGAATTTTTTTGTTCAATCTATGAAATTAAATCTATTTTAACAATAGTTCACTTGCTCCTAAGTGTAAGTTTGATCATATGAATAAAGGATAGAATAAAGGAGGTAGAAGCAACATATCTTCAATCTCTCGTACCTGGTTGTCGTCCATTTCAAGCAGCCCAGCCCAAGCAGACGCAAAATGCGAGCCGAACAATCTGGTCCAAGTTGCAGGCTGGTGCATTTGCATGTGCTGGTTCTGCCTTAACTTTTGCCAATAAATGAAACTTGAGAATAGTAGTAGAATATCTCATGGACAATTTATTACATTAAATATTTTCATGACAATGATTTTTTTTTTCCATTTTAGCTTAATGAAAAATTGTTAATCTAGGTATTAGTATAATTTCTAATAATTAAAAATTTGGAATTTGTGTCTTTACGCACTTACTTAATTACATGAATTTAAATAATAAATTAGATTCATCCTTTTACTCAAACAATTATTATAAGTAATTAAGGGTAGGGTCGAGATAATCTAGTGTTTTTAATCTAAATTATTAAGTATATTTATTAACCAAGTGGTCCAAAGTTTGAATTACTTTAAATATGTGGAATAAACTATATTGAAATGAAGTATTTGTATGCACTTTTGGTTTTCCACGATGTTTGACATTGCATCCGGCAATGAATAATTTGTATTAATGTTATAATTATCCAAAATAAATATATAGATAAATTATTCAACTTTAACCAAAGTATATATATATATATATATATATATATATATATATATATATATATATATATATATATATATCACTTCTTATTTGTATTAAATTCAAAAATTAATTTTAATTCCTCTGAAATAAAAATATTGATTTTGACCCATAATATAATGTGACTCTCCTTAATTACCTATATTATAAAAATTTCAAATGACACTTACCAACGTCTGAACACGAGACACACCTTTAGAAAAATTATTAAATTCCGTGAAAAATTTATAAAAGAATTAAAGTAAATGAAAAATTTTGTGACTTCAAATTTTCTTAGAGGTGAAACAACGACAAGTTAAAAAAAAAAATCAAAATTTTCTCAGTTTACATTTTTTAAAAATATATTCACTCATTTGTATACTACTAATATTAATAGTTACTTAGTAGTTTTACCAACCTTATTTTCTTTGGCAATGCATGTATGAATTGTAATTAATAATGGTGCAACATTCATCAATGGATGATGATATATTGACAACTGAAAAAAAAAAAAAACTCTCGTTCAAGAACTCAGTTTAATATTATAATAATCATTATAAGCTTTTATAAAAATAAAGAAAAAATTAAAATTATTATTATATTAAATAAGTGGGTTCTCTATTAATCTTTATCCTTAATCAATACACAAGAAATATAGTTAGTCTTATCCAAGAAAAGCCAAACGCATATTTAAGTAATCTCTTAATAAACAAATAACTCCAGAAAGTGATTTTTTCTAAATGAAATATCCAAATACAGTGACTGAATATTATTTTTATTCAATTGTCTCCTATCTTCCGCAAGCAGCCAAAAGTACAAAAACCAAACAACCATTGAGTTTAGAGAAGCAGCAAATGAAAATGGGAGAGATGCAAGAAACATTGGAGTTTAAGAAAAACATTGGATTTGCAAGGTGTGAAAACAAAGCGAGACTTGCCATTTTGGAACTAGCACACATGATGAGTGTGCCTATGTCTCTCATGGCTGTCATTAACCTTAAAGTCCCTGAGGCCATATGGCAGGGTGGTTCCAACGATCCCCTCTCCGCCGCCGACATTCTCCAGCGCATCCGACCCCACAACGGCCGCAGCGACTCCGAGAACCTCCAGCGCCTCCTCCGGTTGCTCACCAGCTATGACATCTTTGTGGAGCACTTGAGCAGCAGTGGCCAAAGAAAATACTCCCTGAGTGACGTTGGAAAAACCCTAGCTGATGATGACCAAGGTTTATCCTATGCATATTACATGCTCCAGCATCATCAGGTAAAACTTTTACTAGTTGATTCACTCACAAAGAAATAAAGTTTGATCTTAAATATTATGACTTTGTATTGTACTAGAGAAAATCTATCCCATAAACTTATACAATTGAAAGATGTGAGTTTCAACTCACTCTTAGCAAAAATATATGTTCAGGGAATATATATACGTTTAGAAGAGGGTAATAAAGTAGAGGCTATGAAGATGACATGAAATAATTTGAATATTTTATACAGGATGCATTGATGCGAGCTTGGCCATTGGTGGGGGAAGCAGTGGAAGATCCAAGGAGGGAACCATTTAAGAAGGCGAATCATGAGTCAGCAATAGAGTACTATACGAAGAGGCCTGAGGAAATGAAGTTGATTCATAATTCCTTCACAGGAATGTGTGTACCCTTCATGAGGGAAATGCTAGAAGCCTATGATGGGTTCCAAGGAGTGGAAACACTAGTTGACGTTGGTGGCAACTCTGGTATCTGTCTTCGCATGATCATGGACAAGCATCCTAACGTGCGTAAGGGCATCAACTATGATCTGCCAGAAATGGTGGCACATGCACCGCACATTCCAGGTATCTATATCATGATGGTCACAAATATTCCCTTTTAGAGTGTGTGTTATTTGTTCATAGTATAACATTTTAGTTGGGGGTTATATTTTATTGTAGGTGTATCAAATGTTGGGGGTAATGCGTTTCAATCAGTTCCACCAGGGGATGCTATTTTCATCAAGGTGTTTTTCTCGGTTAAATTAATTAAGTTATTCTGTAAGTGACAATAACTATTTTTTATCTCATATTAAAAACACAATTTATGTTGAGTCTCGAATGAAACATGCAGTGGGCAATTTTAGCGTGGACAGATGAGGAAGCAAAGCAAGTGTTTGAGAATTGTTATAGGGCACTTCCGAAAGACGGAAAAATGATTGTTTGCGAACCGGTGTTGCCGGAGCAGACAGATGAGAGTCACCGAACCAGAGCACTGTTAGGTGGTGACATATTCGTGATGACAATGTATAGAACAAAGGGGAAGCATAGGACTGAACAACAATTCAAACACCTTGGCATTTCAACTGGTTTTCCTCATTTCAGTGTCTTCTATATTGATTCTTATTTGGCTGTTCTTGAGTTTCAGAAATGAGGAACTACTTTTCCTCATGTTTATCCAAGTCTGAATAAATTTGGAACAAGTGTATTGAGACTTGTGAATAACCTTACCCATTATTATAAGGTCCATCCGGCAACATCGAATTGAGCAGCAACTCACTTGAAAAAAAGCTAAAATATATATTTAACTATCGTATTTGAAAATAAAAATTTAAAAAAATAAAATATAGATTTATTATGTAATATCATTCTTAGACAACTCCATTAATGATCATAATCAATATTAGCATTATTATGAGATGTATCTTGATATTTTCACTAAGTATATTATCTAATATAATACATGTTAATATAATATTTTTCATTATATTATCATATCAATTACACACTGAATTACGTATAATTGGAAATCAACATTTAGCACATAAAATGCTCTCTTAATATCTTTTTTCACTGCATATTGATATTTTACAAATAAGAAAATATCATATCTTTTTTCACTGCATATTGATATTTTACAAATAAGATAATATCATCTATATTATAATATTCATGTTATATGATGTTCCATGTAAATTATATCTAAGAAAATCGATCTTGTGAAATGTTATTAAAGAAAGATAATTGACTTAATTTATTGATATCATGGTTAGATTTTGTAATTTCAAAATATAAATGTCAAATTCATAAATAATGTGAGCAACAACGGTGAGTTTTCAATTATAACCTTTATGATGTTGACTCTCTCACGTAGTTCGACGATTTTTCCATTCTTAATATATAAAATCAATCAAATCTAACATACGTGAAACTCATGTGCTTCTCGAATTTATAATAGGCGATTGACATTATCGTTTGATTTTCTTAAGTACTCATATTCAAATATCTCATTTACAAAAGCTTTTAATACTAGATTGCAGTACATTCAATAATTCAAATATATTTATCTACATTATCGATAGGTGATTGTTAATATATGTATTACATTAACACACTTTTGAGTTGGTGACAAACCTCTTCTACAAATTGCATCATATCTCATTTGAAAATATATATTAGAAATATTGAGAGCATATGAAATTCAAAGAAACAAGTGAGTATTTGTGTATACTAAATTTTCTGAGAAATAATCATTAACTAAGCAAACATGATCATCTTCATGATTGTAATTTATGACTTTTCTTCATCTAAATCATGTATTGTTTTCTTTTTGTTGTTGAAACTCACATAAGTATCTTAACATTTATTCTTTAGTATTATCTTCAAGTGTTTCTTGAAGAAGTTGATCATAAAGTACATCAAACTCAATCAAAATCTATTGAACAAGTGAATGGAGAGAAAGTAAAAAAGATTGGAGAGATTACGTAAAATGCATGTCTTTAAGAATTAAATAGTATCAAAACCAACATTACAAGAAAATCGCATATTTTTGATGGATTTTTACCAACGGATTTGTGGCCGTCGAAAAATGAGTCATTACCGACGGATATAAAATTTGGTCTTACCGACGGATATATCCGTTGGTAAAATAATAATTAGTTACCGACGGATATATTCAGTCGATAAAATTATATAATAATTACTTAATATATTCTAATAAATTAATTATTTACCTAATTAAAAAATTAAATATTTTTTAATTTAATAATTTAATTTAATCATAATTAGATTAATTTAAAATAATTTATTAAATTAAATAATTTAAAAAATAAATATTTAATTATATATAAATATAATTTATTTGTAAATTATTATCGAAAAATTTTAGTAGCTTAGTGGTTGGAGTATCAACCTTTAACTCTAATATACTGGGTTCGTATCTTAATTTGATAATAATTCAAAGCTAAAAAAATAGGCTATAAAATAAGTAAAAAATGCAATAAATAATTTTAATATTACTGACGGATTCCTGTCCGTCGGTAATTTTGTAAAACGACAGATTTTGATCATCGGTAATTTCAATATTTTTTGTAGTGCAATGACTAATACAACTAAACTACTACATAATATTATTACATTACATATCAAACTTGTGCATAATGCAATTAAATGTGACCTTGTTTTTGAGATGTGTCCTTCATTAATATTTCAAACATTGCCATTTTTTTTTCTTATGGCTCTAGAATTATTTTGTTCAAGTCAATTGTTAGTGTACTAGGTATTGGAATTCTTTGGAATTCTTTTTCCTTTCATCTTGCTCTTTGAAATATTTTATCCCATTATGTGATCAATTTGTGATGATGTGTCACCATCTAAAATCTCAAATCTTGTCTCTAGATTAGACGATGATGACTAATCATTTAGGTTGATTTTTCAATAATCATCATGCATACTCTAAAGTAAAATCGAATTTTTCATCTTCCTTCAAATAGTAATGTACATTGATCATGACATTGTTCTCTTTATAACATTTTTTCTTCAAATCAACTGCTTATTTGAAATAACCCTTGAACTTTTGAATACTAACATTAATTTTTTATCATCGAGATTTAACTTGATTTAGTGTCCTTTATTATAAATTTCCATGAAATTTATTACAATTTTGAAATAACTGTCATCTCCTGTTAGACAAATGGTATCTAGAGGGGGGTAAATAGATGCACAAATTAAAATAGATATCAAATTAAAAATTTATTTTAGATGTCTAATAACTTGTTAATTTAATTTTAATTATCAGATTAAATTCATATAAAGTGGAAGAATATAATCAGCAAGGTATAGGGAAAGATTCAAGCGTGAAGATGTAGGGAAAACAAAAACCAGGAGTCATAAAGTGAAGAGAAGAGCACACAGTAATTTATACTGGTTCAGATATAGTTAACCCTACATTCAGTTCTCAGTCACCTCTAACACAAAAGTGACCCTAATTCATTATCTTTCAAATTCAATTTACAAATTATAATCAACTCAACAGAGGAACTAGTAAAGAGTAAACTAATTAAAAAAATAATCACCTCCTTAGAATCTTACTAAGGATGAACACCTCCCTAGAATCTCACTAGAGATGAACACCTCCCTAGAATCTCACTAGAGATGAACACCTCCCTAGAATCTCACTAGAGATGAACATCTCATCTGAACAAATCAAAAAATGAAAAACACATCCTTTGCAACCAACACACAAAGGATGAACATCTTCTCGAATAAATCAAAGGGATGAAAACACCTCCTTAGAATCCCACTAAGGATGAACATCTCCCTTGAATAAATCAAGGGATGAAAAAGTCCTGACAGTAGAAACTCTAAACACAAAAACACACTACTCAAGACACAATATGCACACCTAAACCCTAAAAAGGGGATTTAACAGCAACCACTTAAACCCTAAACAGAGAATTTAACATCTACTTCCTAAACTCACAAAGGATGAAGGCAATAAAATAAGAACAGTCACACATGGGTAATGGAGACAACAAATTGTAGACGCTTGTAGAATGATAACTCCAAGAACACAATGTGATTGACAGTGAAAACGCAAAAGGAAGTATGAAAAAGTTTTCTCAGAAAACCTAAAAGTACTCTGTTGTCTTGCTCAGAATTCTTTTCTCAAAACTGATTGAATGTAAATTGAATTTTCGAATTCTGTAATTATGTATATTTTATTTTTCATCAAAACTCATTTAAATAGGAAAATAACATCAGAAAATAGTCGTTGGTCATTAATACTTTTGTAGAGAAAAATAAGGATGTATTAAAAAATATTTATTCTTCAAAATGGATATATTTTTCAAATTTGAACTGTCATAATCGATTATGTTACCAATATAATCAATTATGATAGAGAAAAAATCATTTTTCCATTTCTGATGTATCATAATCAATTATGACAGTGAAAAATGTTATGTTACGAAATTTTATCACACTTGTGATTTAGAGGCTTATGCATAATATCATTTCATCAACTTGTACCTCCATATCCTATATTCTAAGACTTTATCTAGTCTTCAAGAATCATCTTGGGCTTGTTTGAATCTTGAATGTTGTTTACTTGAATCATCATCAAAATAATCTCTTAGGAATGTAGGGACATGTTTTACATTGTCATCAATCTTCTCCTCAGTGCTTTCAGTTCTAGGGCAATCCAACAGGCCATGTAGTGCCTTCAAAATCCAAGACTAAGCTAGAACCTTCTTTTCTTGCATGAGGTTTCACATTGTCATCTTTGTTGTATTGTTTTTCCCTATCATAATTCAAGGTGTTGAACACAAATATTGGAAATGAATGAATAAGTTACGCTTAAATCGTACAATATATTAAAAGTTTTACCTTTAATGAAACATATAACTTCAATCAGATCATTATTTTGAGGAACTTCAACTCGAGTCATTGTATATACTCTCCCTATTGTTATAGACCTTGCCTTGGGTGCAGATGGGGTGGAATTTGGTTTTTGTTGTGATTATTCTAGTCATTTTATGTTGTTGCTCCTCACATATTCTTGCAAGTTTAGGGAAATTATTTCCATGACATGCTTTGATATTTTTTTGTTGTGTTGTTTTTCCCTATCATAATTCAAGGTATCGAACACAATCATTGAAAATGAATGAATAAGTTACGCCTGAATCATACAATATATTAAAAGTTTTACCTTTAATTGAAACACATACCTTGAATCAGATCATTGTTTTGAGGAACTTTAACTCGAGTCATGGTATATACTCTCTCTATTATTGTAGGTCTTGCCTTAGGTGCATATGGAATGGAATTTGGTTTTTGTTGCTCACATTCAGAGAATATATATCCAGGTTTTCCACACTTGAAACAAACATGTCTCTTTAAGATGACAATCTTTAGCATAATGATATTGTCTACACTTAAAACACTTAAGCTCTTATTTACAAGTTTATTAGAATTTCTTAAATAAAATTGGATTGGTTGAGATCTCCATTGGGGACGGTTGTATGACTTTCCTTCATTTTGCCTTCTTTTATTTTGCTGGGATCTGAAATATTTTGGTTTATTATTTTTTATGGTTTTCAAAATCCTCCAAAATCTACACTTGTGAATAAGCATAAGGAATCATAAATCTCTAAT